CATGATATATACATTGATAAACACACAACACAGACACTACCTTACACGGATAACAGTCCCATAACACATACAGTTACGTACACTCACTGCACTATTTCCAACGTTTTGTTCAATCCTGTGGCCCGTAAGAACGTGAGTTGCGCTTTGTAGAGTCTAACACAATGGAGGTGTTCTGCCATGGGCCTAGAGATTTTTTTTAACTCCAAATTTGTGTCTTGTTTAATTTTAAACCCATCTTCAGAGACTGTCTCTCTGATGAGTATTTCGTACACTTCAGAGGACTTGAGTGATTGGTCTTCAACGACGTTACATTGGGCACAAAATGCTGATCGGCATGCAGGCAGTACCATTTTCTTCCTGAAGTTTTTCGTATATGCCATGTTTAATCGAATGCTGTTATACACGTTTAATCTTGCCTGTTGAGATTTTCGTGGCTTCCTGAAGTCAGCGCCTGGTTATATCTTGTACAGAGGCCCATACTGTTGGCTAGGGTCCTGAGGGATCGTTGGAAGAACCAGGCGTGTGCCGACACTAGCGTTGCTGCGTCTGCATCGAGAAATGTATCCCGATAATTTCTGCTGAAGTGTCATGTCCAGCTTGCGCATCGTCATCAGCCTAAACGTTGCCTTGTAATCCGCAGTGGCAGGTATCCAATGTAAAGTTTTTTATAGGATAGTGCGACGCTATTGCCTATAAACTTTCGCGACTTAGTCAATGTTCTGGTATTTTCAATGGAAGCGAAAATGTTGTATGCCGTGTGCTTCAAGGAGGGCGCACGTTAAAGTATTCCAGGGGGCTAAAATTTTTAGTGCCCTTCACTACGGTGCATCTTATATCATATGGTGGTTTTGGGACGTTAAACCCAACATATAAATAAAGCATCAAGCAGCCCTATTATTTCTATTTGTGATACAAATGGTGCCGCGACTCACCTGGAATGATGACGGCCCCACGCAATGGCTTCGAGATATTTCCAGTCACTGAAAGTAGCAGTTATTGCGGACGCGTCCTCCGAATGTTCTTTGTCGCATTTAATTCGAGTGCGGTAGACTGCAGCGGGTATCGGCTACAGCGGGCAGAATTTAGTGTTGCAGCTGTGGAGTCTTGAAGCTTTCGAGTTTATAGGTTAGAATGAAGGCAGTGTTTGGCGTTGTTGGCGAACTAGTTGGAGAAAACTTACAGTATAAACTGCAGGTCCCTGGTTTTGTCCTGGCTTGTGACACCACAACGAGGTGTAGAAGACGAAGGGGATACCAGATCTGTACGTTTGGCTACATTGAAGGTAACAGAAGAACTGCGAGCCAGTCCCCGTGGCTGTTGCTCACTCCTACCACCCCATAGGCCTCAATTATTCGTAAAAAAGGCTCTTTCGCGTGAGTCAACAGGGATGTCATGAGTAATTTATTTATGAATGAAACATTAGGAAAAATATGCCACTTTTTTGTTGGCAGATCACGCCACTTTGCCTTTAACATAAATTTGGCTTGTTGATGTTTGCCTTGAACGGTTCAGCATAAGAGCTTTTTCACTGGTGATGTCTGCCTTAAGCTGCTTAGCATAAAAGCTTTTCCACTGGTAATAGTTTCTTTTATAGATATAAATGGCGTTTTTTATATTTCTTGTTATTACAACTTGCGCAATAACGCGTATGTATCTGGTTCATTTCACTTAATTATCTGGCAGTTTGCCAGATAAATTGCATCACGAAACAATGATCATCTTAAAATTTGAGTACATCCAGCTACTCAGCACTGGTTCACTGCACACGACAAAGTAGAGCTTGATACCAGAATGTACAATATTATTGAAGAGAATCGTGACGAGCAGCTTCTGCATAGGGAAAGCGAATGGCTCCGAGGCGTTTGAGCCATCATCAGAAATTCGCAGTTCTTGTCAAGGACAGTCATCACGGGTAGATAACACAAAGAATATGGCAAAGATGGCGACTAGACTTGCTGCAAGCTCACAACAGCCAACCCTGCTACAGTGAATTGAAGCTGAAATGTGGTCAAGTTAGTTTTGACTCAAGTACAAAATATTGCGGAGCAAAGCAACTACAGTTAAAAATAAACACGAGATGACGACGAGATTTTCACTGAAAATGTTACTCTGAACACGTGGCAAACAACACGCAAAAAAGCTATACTGACAGGAACGTCACATTATGGCCGTCCATGCAAAAACACAAGCCAAGGTACGCGTCACGCATGCCTCTTCTAAGAATCCAACTTCACTTGGATGCGAAACAGGTCCTGACTAACCTGTGTAACGCTGTCCGTCCGTTCGCAACGTTCCCCTGGCAGTAGGTGTTGGAGCGGTGCCAAGAACCTCACGCCTTCCTAGCAGTGCGCGGTGACGTCTTTATCCCTCGCCTGCTTTCCGTTCGCTGCGTGTTAGCTCTCACTCGCTTCACCCTCTCTGCCACTTGAAGTGCCCGACAGGCCTTAACACAAATCTTTGCACATTATCAGATGTCAACAAGACTTGTTATCAATCCCACAGGAAATAATAGCTTTCTTAACACTCAGCGGCTTCCTTTTGCAAACAGCTTTCCTAGACACCGGAAATCAAGACCTTCCCAAGTACATCTGTTTTGTCTGCACACCGTGTTTGCTGATATACTTTCCTAGATATAGAACTAGACGTACTAGATTTTCAGTAGGCTCCCCGCAGCGCTTAGGGCTACAGCTCGTTACGATAACTAAGTCAAGTAGTAATTAAACAATGGGGTCACTGCAGGCTAGTTGGTATTTTGTTGCGATTTCGGGTGTAGCGCCGCGTTCAAAACCGTCCAAAATAGTTGGAAGGAAAGAGGCGCCATATTCACAATTCAGTAAACTGCTCAGTGAAGCAACCTACCCTGATTTCACACTTTTGGTCGCTTTACCTTTTTTTCGAGCACACGACGCAACTATGGAGTTCCCCTGAACAAACCAGTGATATTCACAAAGTTCCGCGGCCAGGCAGAACGATGCTCAAGTTGGCCAATGTTCAAGCTTACCTTGCGGGCGCGGCAAAAATTGGTTTTGGAACCACGAGAGAACTCAGTCTGAAGCTCGTGGTTTAAGAACCACGAGCTGCAGACGAGAACGCCTCGTCCGCCGTGAAATTGAGGCCCCAACTCTAGTCCCCATTCAATGTCATGGCCACGATTATTTCAACACGATCTCTTTAATACAGACCGTCGTACGCCAGGAGCTCGCTACCGTCGGACTCTAGATGCTATGCCCCATGACAAACCATACTACCGTCCACCCTGTCTTCCTGATCAGCTCCGAAACACGTACGACCATCCTCGGTACCGGAACCCGGCGGAATGGCCAATTTCTGACGACAGGCTCATTTGCCTCTGTTGTGGACGCGTCAGCCACATTTCCTGACACTGCCGTAGTCCTGGAACTCGCAACCCTGGTGCAAATATTTCAACAATTGCGTTCTCCTGTTAGTTCCCAACTGCCCATCCACGATAATAATGCTGCTACACCATCGACGCCTCCACTCCCACACTACACCACCTCCTTCGCCATCAAGTCGCCTGTCTTGCTCTCAACTTCTTCGTTCTCCCCTTAACAAAATCTTACACTGAAATCCTGACCCGAGGAAGCCGGCAACTTTTCTTGCGTGGCGCATTGGTGCAGTACAGGGAATGAAAAATGCTTGCACCTTAGGAAGTACAAATTCATTGATTAGGGCAAAATAGCACTCGCATCCGATAGCTTGCATTAGCGACAAGTTTAACGTCGGTTACAAAAAGAATGAAACCAAAAGGGGAAAAAGAGAAGGGCCCATTCAATTATGAAGTTTTACAGCTGATTCTGAAATTTAGGTCAGTTAATTTTGACTGAAATAAATATTATTACGGACCAGAACAAGAAAGAGAAACGTGCACACAGTACAGCTGCTACACGTCAACCTCGAATTTTGCTCTGGAACGTGATACACAAATTGAAGATTTAAAAATCTAAATTGATAGTACCATCCTTATTCTACCGTTCATACCAGCTACCTACGCCAAGCAACACTTCAGGCACGCACCTTCCAATGAAACGAATTTTGATTAGTAAGGTTGAAGGCACACTTACACACCTACCTGTCCTTCTTGTGTAAATTATATACAAGGCCTCATATATTCTCTGTACATCTGGTCATAACTTCGTTCAACACTTGAGCTGTAACAAAACGCTACAGCTAGGATCATGGTAAGTTCAACCTGACTACGTACAAAGGTCTTCCAAGCTCAATTTCTTAACAGCGAATTTCAAGCCAAGTTCGGCCTTGCCACAACGAAGTTCAGCATAATCCAGTAATAAAAAGTATGATGCTGGTGAACTTCGCTTTGCAATTAAGCTTTGCGTGGATTAGTGCAGGCTTGGGGACGATTCTGTTCTCTTGGGTAAAGCGCGTTGATTG